AAAAATTTCATTGACTAAATTAGATTGACAGTCAGATAAATTAGATTTCTGAATTATTTCATTTAATGTGGTTGATGAGACTTGGGATATTTTAGTTTTGATATTATTCAACTGCAATTTCAAATTTTTAATTGTTTTATGCGCTCTCGAAAACTTTTGGCTTGCAATTTTTTTGGATTTAAGAATTTTTTTGAATTTGCTTTTTTTGCTCGGTGTTAAAGGTACTCTTAAAGACTTTCCAGCTGACAATATTTTGAATTTTTTATTTATGGTGTATTTTAATCTATTACACCATACACATAATTGACTATTCAAAACAGAATGAAATTAGAAATGTTATTATTTCAAAATTAATTTATTAAGGAAAATTTAAAATATTTCAGAATTTAATACCTGGCTCCATCTTCTATAATATTTAAACAATTCGCATGTTTCCAGTGACCATTAAATTCTATAAATTGAGAACCAAAAGAAGTTTTTACATTTTTGTCAGTTTTTACACCTCGACAAACATTAACTTTTACAAGTATATTTAGCATGTATTCAATATTCAATGTTTCATCATAATTATTTATTCCAACCTGTGATAACTTAATTTGTTTCTCATTAATGTAAAATGTTGGCTCAGAATCTATAAATATATTTTTATGGTAAAGTTAAGTTAGTATTCGAAGTACACATATTTTTTTTTTAACTGATAAATTATTATCCACGATACTAGTCATTATGACAAACATTTAGATGTAGATGTAACTATTGTTTACTTATTTTAATACCTTTTAATATAACTAATCGTTTTTCCACAACTCTTTTATTGTATATTTGAAATGGACTGAGAATAAAATAAGTTTTTGCTATAACAGATCCATTATTAGTAGTAACATCACAAAACCAATTCATGGGTAGTGAAATTGAACTTTCATCATTTATCAATATATTATCTTGAATTACTACCTCAGATATTGATTCAATTACACTGTCAGATAACTGGGCATTTAAAATAAATTTATTTTTAATTTACTTTTGTCAATGTTATTAAAATTATAATTTATTCAAACCTCAATACATGCTCGTTTGGCAAGTGGTGGTTCAAACTCATCATTTAGATTAACTTTAGAATAATTATGTTCGTTAAGCATTGTCATTGTTTCATTCACCTAATAATATTTTTAAATTAGTAAAAATAAAATATTTGAACTATTAATATATTTATATATCTATACTATTTCCTAAACTAACCTGGTTTATGTCATTTACTTCATCACTTAAATTATTAATTGGTATAACTCCAGATTTTAACCGTGGCTTTCTTAAACAAATCTAAAAAAATTTACCTATCATCTATTCATTTTTACTTATATGTATAATGTATATATTTCAATAGAACATACCGAGATTTGGCTACTACCATTACCAGACTCCCATGTTGATGTAATATCACTAGGTTTAAAATGGTTTGCACAAACTCTTGAATTCCTGTTTAAAGGACACCCAATAATATTTTCCCAGACATTCATCATATTTTTAGGAACACCAAATTTAGATGCAGCATTTTTACTACACCCAGGAACACAACACTTGTTGGAAACCATATTGGAATAAAGGAAAATATAGTACAAAATAAACTACTAAAAAGGCAAAAAGTAAAACGATGAAAAATGGAAATTGGTGCAATATTACAAAAGAAAACTATTGAGGATTGTATTGTATTGTAATCTTTATTCCAAATCCCAAATATGACATATAATATATATAATATGTCATGCCAAATATCCATCAATAAAAATTCGCGGGTAAATGTTTAAAGATAACATTGATAATAAATAAAATTGTTTTTGGCCGCAAGAACGCTAGCTACTATTCTCACACAAACCATCAGCTGTTTATATTCGAGAATCTTTGAGCATCATTTCTGTTGTATAGTTTTAATAGGTGGTTTCGTAACCTGTTTATCTTAAGCCATGGCCCATATACTCTATGGCACTGCCGTGGCTCGTATAACCGAAACTTCATTTCTGATTCTCTTCATTTTCCCACTGCTCGTGCACACCTCCTCAACTCCAAATTTGCAGTTTTTGGTGTTCGAACCATTTTTGGACTCTCTTGAATATTCAAAGGTAAGTCATACCAATAGCCCGTCCCCAAAACCGAAATTTGTTACTCAATTGCCGTCCGACCTTTTATAGCTTGTGTGCTTGTGGCCGGTTGTCCGATTGAGGTCACACGAGCGTTTTATTAACGGACGTTACGACGGACGTCATGAAGTCCGTTGTTGAAATTCATTACAATCATACCTAGCAGCCACACATACGACGTCCGTTGGATTTACCGTCCGTTCGACGTTGGCGATACGCAAGATATACTATAACGTCCGTTACGATTACGTCCGTCGTAACGTCCGTTAATAAAACGCTCGTGTGACCTCACCTGTGTGTCGTCGAAATGACATTCCCCCGCACACTTCCTCCACCGTTCACTTGACAACCGCGTTAAGGGGGCTGCAGTCGATCGTGTTTTAAGGAAATTAATATAGGCAATTTAACATGATAGCATTAAACTGACTTGTAAGTGTGTGCAATGTAAACTAACCTTAGTGTGTGTAAGACTAATCTCTCTCAATATTTACCAGGAATCGACCCGCCGTCGACATCAAACATCGTAAACAATTAAACGTAAACGACTAATTATGTGGGTCATAAAATATATTGTTGTCAAAAGTAGGTTATTTTAGTATTCTATATTATAATAACTAAACCTATTTTTGTATACACAATTTTTTTACTCATTAATTACATAATCACTTTTTTTACGTAAAAGGAATAACACAATCAATCGCATACACCGAAACACATGTATATTATAAAAAAGGTGAGGAAAGTGAGTGCTAGAGAGGATGAACCATTACAACTTGGTACTTACTACTTACGTACTGCTATATTATTAATATTATGTATTTATGCTATAATAATTTATTAAAATATATACACATGTATAATTAGAACTCGGCGTTATTTCACTCACATAAATGTACATAGTATTGTAAGTTAGATATCTTGGAGAAAAAAATAATGCGATCCATATAATATGAATATTAAGTCAAAATGTCAAATTATTATGTTTTTATAGTTTATTTACAAACTTCTTCAGTAAAAAACTTAAGCGTAACTATAAAGGTTAGTCACGTAAACGACGGTTTCTATCAGCTCTTGAGTCTATTAACTCGGGCAACATCGCTTGGAAATAAAAATTTTCTAGCAATGTTTTCATTTTGGTTTCGAAAAAATCATCATCTCTTAAAATTTTTTGGTATAATATACCTGTAAACATACGTACGTGGAAATCAATTTACTAAAGTTATTAGTATTACCAATATTTATTTGTAATTTAAGCATTATAATTACCTTTAGGTGACCATATTATAAAATAACAAAACAATCTTTGAGTTATTTGTAATTGACCCATAACTTGAAAATAGTATTTGTCACTTTTTTTTAACTGTAGATTTCCTTGATTGTCAATAGTTGCAAATTTTAATTTTCCAGTTTCTATAGCTTCTTTTGGAGTTAATTGTTTAATTGTAGATGGACATTTTATTTCAACTATACCGTTATCATCTAATAGTCCATCCGGACTGGCTGCTAAAAACGGTAGTTGTTCATAAATGAAAAGGCCAGATTCTTGAATTTTAAGCCCTGTTAGTTTTTGAAACTCTGTCTTCGCAAAGGGTTCGCACTCAATACCATATCTTGTATGCTCATTTCCGCAAAATGTTTTATACAACATTGACTTAATTGTATTAGCTCTAGACGTCGCCGGGCGAAGTTTACAAATGGTTCCAAAGTTTGACCCGGTTAAACGAATTCGTCTTTCTTTATGCCATAATTCACATTCTGATTGAAGTTTAGTCGATTCTTCAATTAATTTGATTTCATTACTATTTTTTATAATTTTATTCGTCATAAATTCTAATTTAAGTTTTTCGTAATCATTTTCATCCATATCCAATTCTTTACAAATATCTTCTTCACAATTGCCATAGTCTTTATCTGCAGGTAAGCTAACTTTGGTAACTCGTCTACTACTTGGTTCATATGTAAGTTTTCTGTTTGTTTTACATATTTTCGTCGTCTGTTTTCTATTTATAAAACGTTTGGTAAAAACACCAGGACTTTTATTGCAAATTTTTTTGTGTAAAAGATGTTGCCCCTGCATTATATGACAACACTGCCGCGGTACACCTCGCTTGATATGACCCTTTATGAGAAAAGTTTATTCTCTTTCCACCTACATATTTAGCAACAACGCTATTATAACCTTCGACCGAATTATTGTTTACATTATAAGTCAAACTTGAGGAACGATGAGCTAATAGATTTCTTGCTGACAAAATATCAGCCCAAAGTCCACTTTGTTCCATATCTGGAACATGGTTTATATTTGTTTTTTCATTTTTTTTTTTTACAAAAATATGCAGCACAATTTACATGAATTTTTTTTGTGTAATGTCGCTTTGGTTTATTTTATAATTATTCAAAGGAAAATCATGGTAAAGCTTGTATTCAACTTTAAGTAACTTAACCATAGGTATAAACTATAAATACTAAACATTTTTAAAACTTCACGTAAAATACAAATTGAATAAATATTAATAATTAAAAAGGTAATAAGATAAGACGTTATTAAGGTAATTAATAGATTTGTAATATTAATACTTACTTTTTTTAAACCATTCAGGGCATTAATGTTACCTTTATTTTTCTTTCTCTTGGATAAAAGAGTCTTAGTTTTTTTTCCATAATGCCAGTCACTTTTACTGTCCATAGCACCAAAAAAGAACCTAACCTAACCTAACCTAACCTAACACTGAGTTTAAAGCACTGAAACCTGTTATTAACGCTTCTGCTGTAGTTGCTTACAATGGTATATAAGTTCTATGTCATATATTTAAATACTAACTATTTATAACTAATTAATATATTATTCTTCTAGGATGGGAGGAGATGGATTCGGGAGGTTTCAATGTTAAATATAACACCAACAACAAATCATTACAGTCTAAAAATCTTGCTCTCAGCTACATAGCTAAACAATTTGTGTTTACCACCACTGTGTAAGTAAAATAGCCAAACTGTCTTTAAACTATTATTAATTATTATATTATGTTCTACAGAAATGATAACAAGTTGTTTGGTGGCTCAGTTTTCAAAAAATTATCTGATCAATTAGATTTTGGTTTGCAAGTTTCTTGGTCATCTGAAAACAATGATTCTTCACTTGTTGTTGGTACCCAATACCAACTGAACAATGATGTTAAGTTGCGAGCCAAGATCAATAACAAGAGTCAGTTGTGCCTAGGTACTGGTATTAAAATCAAAGATGGTATGTACCCATAATTTATCATTACACTAATAATAAAATTATAAGTAACGTAAATTTTATTTTAGGTGTTACATTGACATTGACCAGCTTATTGGAATGTCGTCAGTTCAACCAGGGCGGTCACAAATTTGGTATCGGCTTGGAAATTGCTTTGTAAGCGACAAATACATGCCCAACTTATTGTACGTTATGTAGACAAAATGTATTGTCAGTAAACGTAGGATTATTAAACACAGTTTGGCTATTTTACTTACACAGTGGTGGTAAACACAAATTGTTTATCTATGTAGCTGAGAGCAAAATTGTTAGACTGTAATGATTTGTCGTTGGTGTAATATTTAAATATTTAAATGTAATTTTATACTTAGTGTACACTTGTAATGTAATTGGGCTCTGCCCGTAATGTTTGAAATAAATAAATAAATAAATAATCATAAGAGTATTTTTACAACATTAAAATTCAGTGTATTTGTTTAAAATTAATTAGGAAAAATAAAATTTATATCAGTTGCTCTCGTTATAATGTCATTTGATCATCTAAATGTTTATTCATCCATTCACGTACTTTTGGATCTGCAGACATGAGTTCAATTATATGATTGACATGATAGCACAGAGCCTCAATTTTCTTATCCCAAGTTGGCAATAATTTTTGAGCTGTAAAAAAATCCATGTACATAATATGAAGCTAAAGAACATGGGTCTAAACAAATAAATTACTTACACTTAAAGTGGACATAGGAGTCTACTTGATCAATTGAGCCTTCCATCCTTCCTTCTGATATCATTTGTCCTGCAATTTTTTCTGCTTTAATTGGTTCAATGCCCAACAAACGGCCAAGTTCCACAATTTTCATATTTTTATAAAGTTTACTTGCCGATAATAGGTTGTGTTCAATGATAGCTGTTACCGAAAACGCAGAATTAAAGGATAAATTACGTGAAGAAAATTCAAATTATTTCGGTCGTCCGTGCAAATCATATAGCCACCGTCTGATTTTTTGTTGTCTAGCAGGTCAGTCATCTATGTTATCCGGGTAGGCAACGTGCGGCCGGGATAGCGTCCATTACAGTCACTGACAACGCAAAATTAAGTTATGAATTATGTGAAAAAAAATTCAAAACATTTCGTAAGCAATCCGACTACCGAGTCACCTTCCTCGACGTCATTACGCCAAAATTTAGGTCTACGACTTTATAATTATTTATTATTACTAATAATTAGTTATTAGTTATTACCTATTTTCACCACAGATGAAATATCTATTGGATTTTCCGGAAAAACCTCTACATCAAAATATAGGTTTCGGTTTCTTTTCTTAAAAAAATATATTTAATTGTTCCGGTCCGGTTTCGGTCCTAAGATTTTCAAAAGATTTCGGTCCAAAACTGGTCAATTTCGCGGTACGGTTCCAGTCCCTGTTATGAACTAATAAATGCATACATATCAATATAATATTACAGTTGTCAGGTGACTTAATTGGTTGAGGTAATCAAATAGCCACTTTCTTATTTTGGTAATTAATAATTTAATGTAGCATACAAATACTGCTACAGTTTCTATATAATATATATTATTATATTAATAAATAAAAAGATCTTTATATATTTAAGTAAAGTTTGTAGGTAGTAAAGTTATTTAATATTTGTATAATATTTTCTATACTATTTGATATTACTTACATATATAGTAAAGTTATACCTACCATGTATATTTATTTAATAATGAGAATTAAATCAAATTAATAAATATATAATTTTATTAATGAATAGCAAATTTGATTGACCTGAAAAATACTGTCCTATTAAACGTAGGTATGTGTAAATGTATACACTATACAATGCATATAGTTTGTATTTTGTGGCATTTATCTTACTGAGTAGGTCTACTATCATAATATTTTTCTGTTATATTGTATGACTGTATGTCTGTATATAATATATTATGTACCTACCTACCAATTTTTTAATGTCATATGATATTTATGATAGTTTAAATTATTTAGTAATTATAATTGCACATTTATAATGGTGCATCACTGTGTTATGACTTATCTGTTATGTGTATGCAAGTGTGTATGAATGTAGTTTATATTGTACACTTAATACATAAATGTGGATAATAAAAGCAATAGCTGTGGTTGTCAATTATCTAAATATTGTTATTTATCAATTATCTATTTATTAATTTGATTAAACCTACCTATTGTATACTCAAATTAATAATAATATGTTGAGAATATAAAGTAGTTAAGTGTTATCTGTGACAATTAGTATATTATATCATTGATTATAAATATATATATACATATATATATAAATAATATAAGTATTTATAATCAATGATTATAATATGTAGGTGCTATTCAAATAGCTTGGCAACGGTCATTAGACTAATTGCAATAATTAAACCATAAATCTGTTTTTCAGTACCAATTAGTGTAATGACTTTCCAAATTTTTTAATATTAGCAGCAACATATTAATAAAAATAATAGTAGTGTGATAAATGTTACTATACATAAGAGTATTAATAAATATTTTTTTTTCTTATGATAAGATGTGTTCCAAGCTATTAGCTACGTGCTACATAGATGAACAATTAAGGTATGACTGTTATCTATAGTATTAGTTGGAATAGTCTACATCAATAGTTGATCGACAAACGGCGTGCCGACACTAATATTTTAGTTATGGATTTAAACCAATAATTGATCATACTCAGAGATAAAGACCTAACAACTATATAATATTAAATATATGTGTATTATCATCTATAGACAGTAATATATAATAATAAAAGTAATACACAATAAGTATAATAATAATAAGTATAATGCAATAAGTATAATCAAACGTAATAATATGTATAATAATTGAAATACTACAGTCACAGTTAACCAACCATCATATCATAAGCACATACAACAAAAGTGTATTTACCTACACACGGTATCGACAGTAAAAAATAAAAACTTCAATGTATTGTAGGTATTTTACAGTACGAACACAATGTTACATAGTTAAAAGGTAATTACAATTGCGATTGAACAAATAGATAGTGATACGACATGTTACAAAAAGTTGAGGTTAATTTAATTTGACTAATTTTAATACTGATACTTAAGAAACAAAATACAAAGGAAAATCATACTGTTATAATATAGAACATTGACCGTCGTCCATAGACATTGAAGTACGGATCTAAGGTTATACAATAACCAGATAGATGTTTGATAAGTACATAAAACAATTTACCTACGCACGGTAAAGACATTAAAAAATAAAAAATTCAACGTGTTGTAGGTATTTTACAGTTTGAACACAATGTTACATAGTTATAAGGTAATTACAATTGCGATTGAACAAATAGGTAATGATACGGCATGTTACAAAATATAGCAATTTCTATTATATAGTACTTCGACAGTCGTCCATAGACATTAAAGTACGAATATAAGGTTATACAATAACATAATTAATCTTTTAAGTTAAATACAGCGACAATATTTACAGTGATCACAGAATTAAATTTGTCTTTTTTGATGATATAAGGTTTAACAATAAGAAGTAAAACAAATACATACATTAGTTTATACATTAAAAGCATTTGTCATTTTGTTGGGTGTCATTTCAAAAATGTTTCTAAGGGTTTTCAGTTGTGGTTAACATGAATGAAACACAGAGTGGGAACTGAACCAATAATATCACTGTCGAAGGTAGCAGTGCAGTGCTGTGTTGGCCTGGCATGTTGTGGTTTGTATCTCAATGTTTCCACACAAAACAGCCTAAAAATACAATATACCAGTTAATGAATTTAATGAATAAGCTTATAGTATAATGTAGTTCTTAAAAGAGTGAGGCAGAATCAAATTTGTCATTTTGTTTGGTAAAGATACTTTAAGCACAACGTCAGTATATCTTGAACACGGGGTAGTTAAACATTAAAAATAAAAGTCAATGAAATATTTCTGATAATAAATTAACCTGAGAACATGACAAAAATATTAAATTGTATAGTGAATAGTGAATAAGAATAACACATACAACATATAATAGTTCTCAAGTAATAGTTAACAGTGATCACAGAAAATCAAATGCATTAACCTTTATAATGAAGAATATCGAAGTATACTCATGAATATAAGGTTTTACAATAAAATATAAACATTAAAAGCATTTGGTCAATGAAAGTAAATTGTTATAAGTAAAGACCGGATTTTTGTGCAGCTAAAATCTAAAAAATGTGCAATTAAAATGTTAGAATGTGCAAAAACATGCAAAAACAAAATTTTCATTATAGGTACTTCAAATTTTAGTTTGAATAAGTAATAACTAATAACTAACTTTACAATATTTGATTAAAATTTATAATCATGTACATTTCTAAGTTTTTTTTTTTAAAATTATGTCTTCTGTCACTTAATATATGTTTTAACTTCGAAAACAAACGTTCTACGTCGACACTTGTTATCGGGCATTGTTTGTAGCAGCTTATAATAGCAGGATCTTCTTTTAAATCTACATCATTTCCATTTATTGAATTGTTGTACAGTTTTAAAATATTGTATCCGGGATTTTTATCAAATACTGATTTGAATTTTTCATATAGTATTTGTGCCTTTTCATTTTCAATTGCCTTAAGTCCATTTCTTACTATTTCAACTACATTTATTTGATAATTTAAAGTTGAATTTTGTTTTTCCAGTTTTGTAATTGAATTTGGCAACTCGGACAAATGTGATCGAATAAATGTTTAATCAGATATAATTGATGTAGTACTCAAAATGGATTTTACTTTTTGGACAGATTGAGCGTCATCGTCTATATTAGATACCAATTCTTTAAATTTACTGAAATTTTCAGAGTAAAACAAAGCAGCTTCCAACCATGTTCTCCACTTTGTTATTACAGGTTCTGGAGGAAAGCGACAGTCTATCGACTATCGTAGTACCTTAGTCATTATCTTAATTACTTCGTATTATATCGTTATATATATATATATATATATATAATTATATTGTTAGATATAAAAGTCCAATACTTTGTATAACAACATAATATAGCACCGATAAAAATAATACAAAAATACAAAAATATTTGTACAAAAGTACATTTTTATAAAAAAAAACCGAAACGTGCAATTTTGTGCAAAACCCCAAAAACTTGCAATTTTGTGCAACATAAAACTTTCTTTAAATTAATCTACATCTCTTGATTTGGATTTGTAGCTTGTTTCTATTGAATTTAGAACACGCCATAAAAAGATGCAATTGCACGGGAGTCCGGTCTTTAGTTATAAGAGTATTAAGTTGTGATTAATACAAATGAAACACATGTTGGTGGTTTTGATGTGTGTGGGAAATGAACAAATACTAATGCACTATTCATAATAACCTCAGTGTTGTGTCGAGAAGTCTCCAGAAACAAAAAACCTCGAACACAGCTTGATAGACTTGTGACCCATGGTGTTGCACGAACTGTGTCCATATCCGCCGAAACCTAAATGTAAATGTGAATGTGAGTGTAACGGTCATGTTCATTGGGACGTAAATGGTTCATACTTACTTGTGTATAGAAACTCCATGGCGGCATCAATGTTTCCACACCAAACACAGTTGTGGTTAACATGAATGAAACACAGTGGGAACTGAACCCATAATATCACTGCTGAAGGTAGCAGTGCAGTGCAGTGCTGTGTTGGCCTGTCATGTTGTGGTTTGTATCTCAATGTTTCCACACAAAAACACAAAACAGCCTAAAAATACAATATACCAGTTAATTAATTTAATGAATAAGCTTATAGTATAATGTAGTTCTTTAAAGAGTGAGGCAGAATCAATTTTGTCATTTTGTTT